TTACAAAAACAGATTTAATCTTCTGGACAATCCAGTGCTCTAGACGGACGGATCCAGGATTGTGTTAGTCGAAACGGACCAAGACATTGTATGAGGGAGATGGCACTTCTTTTAAATTTGGTTAAGCTGACCGTATTTATTACACGTTCAGCGGTGCTGTGCTTTTCATGAACAGGGAGATAGCCTTAAATGTTTTTTAAATTTCAGCGGTGATTAAACTCATTTACTCACCGAAATATTCCTTTTAAACGCAGGGAGTCTTTGATTAGATCACGATGTGTATGTTACTCGCGTCCTTTGGTCTCGTAAAATATAAAACGTGCTGATTACCATATGGTATCAAATATATAATTGTTATGGTATGTAATAACTGCTTCGTGCGAGACAAAATTAATTAAGTATTTAACATTTACTTTCCTAACAAGATAAAAGGCTAAACGTACATAAAACATTACGTGTGCCCAGGGTTTGACACAATACATATTTGGAAGTAGCTATTTGTTAAGCGAGTGTGTTCGAAGTGACTGACAACCCCCTAAAAAGGATCTATTTGAAAAGAATGCTTTCATAACAAAAAAAATAAAATAAAAAAATACATCAATTATGTAAGCAGTAGATATGTTGGCTCGTGATCACACTTAAATCAATTTCTAATTTCTTTTAAATAAACTTTTTTATAGGATACACTGATTTGATCAGTTTCAAAATACTGTCCTGGCCTCGAATTCATTGACGCAAGTTTATTGATCTAAATGTTCAAATAAATTGTTTAGAGTTACATGAATATCAGACATGTAGTATTCAAAAAGTGTTTACACTATTGAATAAATATTAAAAAAATGAATAAATGAAAGCGACCAGAAAAACAAAACAAAACAAAAAGCTTTGGAATCGATTAAACTCGCGACTTATACACAGCAAATTATTAACATTAACTCTAAATCTTGACAGATGGATATAGTTATTACATTTTCCAAATTTAAAACTGTTTGAAAACTTTTTTTTAAGTTATTAAGGAATATAATATGCGTATCCAGATTTAAAATTACACAGTCATGTTTTTACATTAACTGTAAATCTTGACTAATTGTTATTAAATTCACCCAAATTAGAACAGGTTGAAAACTTTTTAAAGTCATTAAGTAATATCATATGCCTATCCACATTCCAAAATGTTTCCGTAATCCTTCTTCACACTACAGTTTAAGTGTGATGACTTCCAATAGTTTTATTCTGATTGTTTGAAAGATGAACGAGCTAACCTTACTTATGACAACGTTCTGAAACCAGAACGACTTAGCACTGTTAGGAAACGGTCTGAAAACAAAGCGCAACTTTCACTTTCATGTCCATAACGTAATTATAAGCCTACTTTCTGAAAGCAGAGTGGCATGCGGAATTATCTCCAGAGTAGAGCTTGTATTAAGTTACAATGCTGTTTAAAACCATTAGGCCTTATGAGACCAGAATTAACATGAGACTGTAGTGTTTATTACGTAGTGTTTCTGTAGGAGGGAAGGTGGAAGTTTAGCCCGTAGGCAGATAGTTATAGCTATGCACAGTGCCGGATATATTCTAGGCTATTGCAATTACTGGCCAAAATGGGCTTATCATCAAGTCAGTATTGTGTGTACGGAGAGTTACAATGGACACTTCTTAAGTCATTATTGTGTGTACGCATGTTATCTATTGTGTTAAGTTTTTGTTTTCCCCTGAGTATATTTTGTTGGCAGCTACAAAATGTTACGTTCCATATTTCTAAAGGCTTTATAACTGATTTTTGTTCTTCGACTAGTTAGGAGAAATGAACTGGAAGGTGGGTTTAGGAGTTGACTGTTGGTCACTAATTTTATGTTCCAAGACTTGTACAACTTGTACAATATTCAAAATTACACAACACGAGATCATTTTGGTGGAAAACTCTCGTCTCCTGATGCCGTCTACTACACATTCCCCCCCCCCCCCCCCCCCTCCGAATATGCTGATGTAATTTGGAATAATTGTGCAACCCAACTAAACAATTTACTAAAATCTATCCACTACAATATACTATATGGCAAGGCACCTTTATCCTTGCAAGACACAATTAATTATTTTATTTAAAATAATGAAGCAAAGATATATGCATTGCGTGGAAAAAGAATATTTAGCCCACCACTCTCTGTAGATCAAACACCTACCTATCATAGTTTTTTCCATCAATGCTCCGAGAATTTAATAAACTCTCACCTTCTACAGTAAAAGCAACAATTTTAAGAAACTTATTAACACATCAAATGTCAACGAAGAAGAAGATGTGAGTGTTTCAAATGTATTCAAAAATAAAGGATCAAGGAAGGGTAATATCATACTTTGTCAGCTTAGAAATGGATGTAGCAACTTTAATTTCTATCTGTATATTGATCATTTAAAAGATAATCCTATGTGTTCTTGTGATTTAAACCATGAAACTGTCTCACTTTTTTGTTCTTCACTGTCCCCTGTTTTCAGTCCAAAGGGCATTACTAAAAAATAAACTTGAACTTATTGAAAACCATAACCACTTTCATCTCACCATCTTACTATATGGCTGTCAAATATGTAACGAAGGTGTAAATATGGAAATTCTTAACTCTGTCCTTAAATATAAAGTTAAAACTAAAAGATTTCTTGAATATCGAATATTATACTAGGCAATTTCATACATTTTGAGTTAATTCATTCACATATATGTATATATATTTGTAGATAATAACACTTATTTATAAAAACAACATACATTCGTACAAGAGTGCATCTCTCGCAGGTTATCATGATATTGTTATGCTTTCCTCTTATATTCCCCCATACTCATTATATCTTAAATTTCTAGTGTACGTACTTAAGATCTGCAATTTTACCATATATATAATCAAATGCATTACTGTGAATTTATACCGCAATAACATTTGCTCTGGATCCTGTACAGTGCCCATTTGAAGACCTAAACGTAACACAAGGACTGTGCGGTCTTCAATTTGATAGTATTGCTTGTATACTATATGCGGTATTATATTATATATAACTATCTATGGACTTTTTATACCTGCAAATTTTCACTATACCAAAATGTGCAGACCTAATTATGAGGTATAATGGATAGACAAATATATTACTACAAAATAATATGTATGTCGATTAAATTTACATATATGAGAAATTAAATCATCGGTCCTATTCGTACATATTCATATGGTGTCCGTTACTGAATAGTTATGTACATGAATAGTTATGTACATGTCATATACGTTTATATCAACTGCATGAGGTCTAGAAATATATCACCCGTTTCCAATGATTAATTATTGACAGTAAGCAAAATCTTTATAATTATAATATCAATCCATTATGTCCAATGGAGTGGACTTATAGAGGCTATAAGCCTGTTGCCCAATCCTTTTGACAGTGTAACATTCTTCTTTGTCGATAAAATATGTTGAAATTGAAATTGAAATAACGAATATTTGAATGTGCATAACTTCATTTCGTCAGTTGTATTACGTCTATGAAAACTAGATACATTTGTATCTGTTTCGTACTATGTATTCATGACCACTGACAAAGTTGATTTATCTGATATGTATACGGAAACACATTAATTTTCTGCTTTAGGCTGATCACTTCATACTTTTTAAAAACCTTTCCATATTTATCACTGCATACAACATACCTATCAACCTCACTGAAGTGATAGATGTTTTGTAAATGCTGAATTTAAACCCATGTCTAATCGGATTGCTTAATAGGAAGAAGTACATGTCAACATTATGCCAAGAATATCAAAAGTGATTGATGTTTTGTAAGTGCTGAAGTTAAGCCAATCCCGTAATAAGAAGAATTCATGATTATGCCAGCAATATCACACCCTCTTTATAAGTCCTTGAAATACCGATTTCGTACTCGAGAACTTTTTCTAACGAGGAAATGTATAATTTCCTATGAAGTGAATATGTAATGTCTCACGCATGACAAAACATTATAATTAAATGTCTACAAAGTGTCACTTCCTTATTTAGCTTTGTACAACACTGTTTTGTTGCCAAATTATTAACATTCATTCAGCCCTTCCCTGAAGTAGTTATCACTATGCACCTGTTCTTCTACAACGCACGAGATACTGAACTGAAATTCTGACAGAATTGAGCACGAAGCAGGGCGTTTTTTATCTTATTTTTTTTCTTGATTGACACAAAATGTATCTCCATCTTGTTACCATCTTAGGTAGTTGTAGTATTGCTATCTCCCGTCTTTGGATCCTGATTTTAGCATTGAGTACTTTTATATGGTACGGTATTATTTCTTAAAAGTGCCGCGGACGTGAATGGGTTCTTAAAGTTTGATCTGTATAAGTAAGTGAGTGGGCTAGCTATTACTGTATAGCACAAAACATGTTTTGCGTATATTTAATGTTCGTATCTCGACACTTATATTGTAGTTACTCTATCATTTTCATAAGGAAATTGATAACAACCTCGTCACTGGTTGTGTAACACTCGAACATGTCAGTTATCAAACTGCCAGATGGTGATTAGGTATATCATACTAGTGTACATGCGCCGACCCCGTCAGTGTAGATATAGCCTATATAAATCTCTGATAACAACAGGATGCACATATTTTAAAATGTATTGTCAGTTTTCCGTGTCAAGTTTGCCTTCAAATTAAAGTCACCTCCCACCTCCAGTCTTCAGGGAACATTTCGTCTTGTTTCTGTACACAGGAGAATCGATGTGTTTATTTGTATAGCACTGCACCTTACCTTACAACGATATGATTGATTTAGATTTAGAACGATTTAAATAAATGTGTATTTGCATGTCAAAGGAAGAAGCTGTCAATGCAGACTGGCCTAGCGATAACACCACAATCACCTAATGTCCCTATATGTGCACCCATGTGTCTCTTGGTCGTCCTCAATAATGACACATCGGGACGCCAGACTACAACGCACTAAGGAAGTTACATTTCACTGAAACCATGAAATGGCAGAGGTAGAGAGGAGAAGATTTGGTAATCTGGTGACGAAAGTAAAGGATGTTCAGAGCAATGCTCTGTACTACCGCCGGTTGTCATGGTTTCTGTTTGGGGCAGAGATGCCCATGCTAACTGGAGGTTGTTTTCTTGATGACGGGAGACTACTGTTGTCAGATTATAACAACAAGAAGCTTATTCTGTTCGATGACAGCTATAACTATATAAAACATATTTCAGTGGACGGGTGGCCTTATGACGTCACAAGAGGGAGAGGTGAAGGGGAAATTTACATTGTCCTTTGTAAAAGCGTCATACTGCGATGTCATCTTAATGACGATGAACTCATTATACGCGACAGAATTCGAGTGCCAGACGACGTTCGGTGTGTGTCGGTACTAGATGACGTCATATTCACAGGATCACGTTCAGCTGTATCGATGATGACATTGGATGGCGTTATCCTAGAAGCCTTACCCAAGGCTGGTGGTAACACTTACTTAGCATCGTCATCACTACACCGGAAGTTCTTTCATAAAGATGGCGACATCATTTTGTGTCGGACGCTTGACGGGAATGAGGTGTTTAGGTATGAAGACAGCCATCTTATTGATCCGAGAGGTATGTGTTTGGATCACGATGACAACCTGTACGTGTGTGGTTACAAATCTAAAAACCTTATAAAGATAACTCATGATGGACAGAGAGGGAGGGTCGTGCTTAATAGACTGCATAAAATATTGAGACCAATGGCTATTGTGTATCATCCAACGAAACAACAGTTTATCGTGACGTCATATGGAGAGGATACAGCATTCGAAGTGTACCAGGTCAGCTGCTGGTGACGTCATCATGACATTGATCATCGTCTTATCTTGTTAATGTTTGCACGTTCAGGAAAAGAAACAACACTTTATCAAGTTTTTTTGAAACATAACATGTTCTAACTTCTCGTAGTATATAAAAAAAACATGGATGTTTTGTTTAATATATGTCATTTCTGACAGATTTGATATTGTCATATATGCTCCTTCAAACTATTCTTAGTTATCATCTAATTAATTTCAACTCTTCATATCCTGCGTTATCTGTTGATAATGTTCACAGTTTATTATCCGTGGTTATAGGGCCTTTGCAAGCAATCAGTATCTTTCTCAACTCCCCTGTGAGCGTACAGCAGGTGTTGCCATCTCAGCGCTCACAGCTAGCATTCAACAATTCTAGCACTGCCCAACCACGTACTCATTAACAGCTGATTAGACTGGAACAAGGGGAGTAAAGTATTTTGCTCAAATATACCACACAGTGCCGTGCCATAACTCGAACCTGAAACCCTTCGGTCACGAGCCCGATGTCCTACAACAAAAACCGTGCCTCCTGCATGATCAATACATCGGGCAAGTTCGTTTCTAAGAATTCTTTAATATTTCAATCTTTTCCAAAAATAAGTCGCCATGGTTATCAGAAAGCTTTCAGTACTAAAAAGTGCACGGGGTCGAAGGGTGTGTAAGAACACTGTTCTTTTGTCGTTTGAATAAACTGAACTGTGAAAAAAACAATGAATTTGACATTTACATCTTTTTATCCAACATAAAATTCCCATCTATATATTTGATCTTGCGTGGACCAAATTAAGACGGAACACCAAATTTTTCAGCGATTTCTCTTCATTGGTATAAGGTCATGTCATTGACATGTCATATCAAATATCACGGGTCGTTAGCTACAGAAACACTGGCAACACATTGATCATACATCTTGCAGTAGTCTATCACTTACTCTCCAAAGGAGACATTAGTATGATGCAAAGGGTCAAATGACGTTCCCAGCATCATCATCAGCATTCTAACATTATATATTTGGCCGAACGTAATTAAGTTGTGTTTCACTGTTTTTATCAAGTTCTTTCACATCCTTCCGTGTCTTTAAATCTTGTAATATATTCTAATTCATCAAATTTATCCACATCCTTTCATTTAATCTCTTTTTGTAATATATCTGGCTATTTTGTTATTGAGCCTTACATCAGAAGAAATATTATTTCCTGGTGAAGACTCTGAACATGCACTTCATTATATTCCCAATTATTATGATTGAACAGGAGATATATTATCCATTTGTCCTAGTGTAACAACAAGGGCAAGGCCAGTCATTTTCTTCCTGATTATCCATTATGAGTAAGGAATAAATTAAGCAATGCGCCAGTTTAGGTTATATGCGCGGGAAACAAAGGAAATGGGGGCAATAACCAGGAGCATGTCATACATGGTTACATTCATAAATAGATATAGTCTGTCTCTGACCATATCCAGGAATTTAGGGGCTAACCGAAAGTACCATCTAAATTTTTATACAGACAATTTTAGGTAAAATATCTTTATATGGCGAAAGCATCAGTAATAAAACATATCCATTGAAAGATAGTCAAATTTTCAAATGTTTTTATTATACAGGTATGTTACGAAAAAATCATATTCATTAGATCATGATAAAAGCTTATGATATTATATTAAAATGAAACAGAACCCCAATAAATGGCCCGAAATAAGAAAGATCTAAAAATTACATCTATTTATCCCCGAATCACTGCCATTTGTTTCATTACCAGAGTATCAGTATCAAGCGAATATATAATAGATCTTCACGTGTATGACATGTCTAGTCCATAAAAAAAGAAAGAAAAAAAAAAGGAACGGGCATAAAGTTCTAGAATCAAACTCACTTGGGGTGGCGTTAAAAAGAGCCGACATTCGTTGGGAAATGCATACTGTACGGACAGTTTTGACACAAACAGACTAAACAAACCAGTGGTAAATTTTCAAGCCTTGGAGACTAATTTGGAATTTTGGGCTACTGGTCAACATGATAGGTCTATGGATCATAATACCATACCAGCACCTTATTCTTACCTGAAAGTTGATCAAAAACTGATTCTGTCTGCAGAAGTGTCTTTGCAAAACATGGTTCAAGTTATTGGACACCAGTCAGAACATTGTAAAGAACATCTTCAAATAAAAAACCTAATCAGAAAGGACATGGTTTAAAGGCTCAATTTCAATGTGAAAACCATAAGTTGGTGTAGTCTTCTTTCCCTTACCTTTCAGACAAGGGTTACTTAGTGAATGACAGAGTTCCGCATGGTTTTATCAGCAGTGGAATGTTACCCTCACCATATGACACATGGCATTGTATGACATGACAAAAAGCCACTCAAAGGGCAGCATCAGGTCCAACTGTTCTTCATGGAAAAATTTGGTCTTTTCAGACTAGTGACAAAGCTGATTCGGTTGCCTTCCACATGCACTGGTCCGTTAGAAACTGCAGGGGCGATGCTGTAAAACTGCACCAATCTTTGGAAAACATCACGAAACATTACAAGAACAATGGCAGTGCATGTCATCTAACATCAAGATGCAAACAAGATCAAAACTACGATATATCAAGGATAGGAATCACTGATCAAAAAGCAGAAAAGTAACTTAGTGGCATACTTACCAATTCAACATTAAACAAGTGTGCAAAGGACTAAAGGTTGGGAAGAGACACATTTTATGTAGAAAGATTAAAAAATATGATAAACATTTATCAGGACAAGAGAATTGCTAATACAAACAAAGAGCCAACTTGGCAGTCCGTCAATGGAATAAAAAACAATCTATTTGAAATCCTCAAAACCAACGCGCACCCAGTTCCAGAGGAAAGAAACATTTACCAAAACAATCGAATTCAAGTTCAGGCAAGATATTTGGCACACATATGTTGACAAACTGTACTAGAAAACAAGGAAACAAAAACGAAACAGCCTGCATGAATGACATTGGCGTGTAAGATGTTTATACTACATGCTGTATATACTAGCCATGCGCTCTAATGTACTGCTAGCTATTTATAGATCACTGTCCAGCTATGGGTGGGCCAAGGCCTTATGGTTTACCACCTTGTAACATAAAAAGGTCGACCCTGGCGCATGTTTACTTTTGAGAGTGATCGGACAAATAAAATGGCTGACATGCGGCCATCTTGGATTTTGAATGTAGAAGCACTGGAGAGATATTTCTCAAATTTCATGTAGGTTCCCCTTGGTCTTAATTCAACATATTTATTTTTGAGAATGATCAGAAAAACAAAATAACCGACAGACGGCCATCTTTGATTTTTACAGTAAATGTATGTTATCTCAATTTCTCAGAAAGTGCTTGATAGATCTTACTTAAATTTTAAATGTAGGTTCCTTGTGGACTGTTGTTGTACATGTTAACTTTTAAGACTGAATGGCTTACTGGTGGCCATCTTGGATTTTGACAGCTTAAGTTTGGTATAACCATTTGTCAGTAAGTCATGCATGGATCTTTCTCAAACTTAGTGTAAATTCCCCTTGGTCCTTAATTATGCATGGAGGTCATCTTGAGTTTTTATATTTAAAAAAATATTATTCCTAGTTCTTTCTCATAAAGCAATGATCAGTTATGTTTCTTACACATGAAACACTGAACTAGTAAATATGTGAAATGACAAACTCACGTTGAAGGTTGTCTTTTATACACATCAGTATGAAGTTTAGATAAAATTTTACCTCAGGATGTAGATGCTGTTTTCATGACTCGATCAAACAGGTAAGAAAAAAAGAAGAGAACAGATCGAACTGACATAGAACTAATGAAGGTGGTACAATGGTGGGCCCCAAGACCCATCTGGGATCTCTCGTTTGCATCTATTATATGTAAAGGACCAAATGTAACAGATGGTAGGGTCAGCCTATGAGATAACTGTTTATCCAAATTACAGCAAAATGATAATAGAGTACAGTTTGAATAGTACATTATGATTATTTATTTTGCTGCAGAAAAGTGCACTGGTAAAATGTTAAGACTATAATCAATCCAAACATGATGTACGTTTAAACGATTTAACAGTGATTCAGATACTTCAAACATAAATGTGAAAGTTGAAGGTACATGAAGCATAATTAAATTCTGTTAATTGAACAGTCAACACAAACATTACTAACACTTCTAGAGATGGATATTATTGACAAAAAAAGCGGAAATGCAAAGACAATTGAAATAAACTGTACATGTATAGTTCATAAAATTGAAACTGACATTATACAAGTATAAGGGAATATTTTTACAAAAGCCTCAACGGCGGTAGTGGTCACCTGAGTAAAGAGTTAGGTAGTTTTCATTGTTGAGACATGAAGTGGAATAAATAAGCATGTGAACAAGGAAAATCTTCATCAAATCAGAACGATCTGGGCAATACAAATGACCTATGTCCTAAATGTGACTGTCACCTTAGGCATAGGCACCAAATAGTGGTATGTAACACATTGCCTTACCATCTCGGTATACATGTATGGCACTAACATTCCATCGCTATCTTCATCATGTCAGAAGTTATGGGCCCGAAATCTTCATTTTGAGGAAGCAGAAAAAAGGGGGAAGTAAGTAGCAACCCCCCCCCCCCTTACGTATCAACCTTTACAGTAACGTGTTCTACTTTCGTTTTAAATCGATGTGACAACATAAAAAGAATACTGTCATATACCAAATGTGTTCACTTCAAGTGATTATAGCATTTAGTATTTATTAAAAGCGGACATAGATGAACTGCAGCAAATAACATTGCATGTACCATAACGCATTCGGAAACTCTTGTTTTTGTCATTAGGAACGAAAAATACCAGGATAGGGCTTGTATTCGCATTACGCCTGTTGCGTATTCCTTTTTTGTATAAAATATTAAAAAAAAATCGTTGTGAAATCAAAAAAGCCAACTGTATATACATGTATGTATATATAATATAAAAAATCGATGTGAAATGAGTAAGTAGAAAAAGAGTAAG